ACCCTCTCGAAAGCACCCATGAATCAACGGCTGCCATGCGGCACGAGGTTGAAATTCTGGAAACTCTGCTGCGCCCACTTCAAGAACTGGAAGCGGTGAGCATTTCGCTCCATCTCGATCTCCATGTTCCTGCAGAAGGCGCGTAGAGGAAGGAGGGGAGATTGTTTCATGGTTTCGGGTTTAGGGTTTACGGTTTAGGGTTTAGGGTTTAGGGTTTAGGGTTTAGGGTTTAGGGTTTAGGGTTTAGGGTTTAGGGTTTAGGATTTCGGGTTTAGGGTTTAGGGTTTAGGGTTTAGGGTTTAGAGGCTACCTCCTGAGGGCGTCAGGCCGCCCCGCCACGTCCGCAGAAACGGAGTGGTCGATCACCTCAGATTCAGTGAAGCAAGGGACTCAAGGAGGAACTCACATAAGGAACCTGGGTGATTTAGGGTTTAGGGTTTAGGATTTAGGGCTTAGGGTTTAGGGTTTAGGGTTAAGGGTTTAGGGTTTAGGGTTTAGGGTTCAGGGTTTAGGATTTAGGATTTAGGGCCCACACCCAAAACCCCTAAACCCCCAAAATCTTTTCCGGTGATCTGTGAAGTGGCGAGGTCGACCCGGCGCAATGGATTCACCCTCGCTGGGTCGCCACCTTGCCAAGAAGGAAGAGTGCTCTTCGAACCCTACACCCTAAGCCCTAAGCCCTAAACCCTAAGCCCTAAGCCCTAAACCCTAAACCCTAAACCCTAAGCCCTAAACCCTAAACCCTGAACCCTAAACCCTAAACCCTAAACCCCAAACCCTAAACCCTTGTGGGGACAAGGGTTTTTGGAAAGGAGGCCGGCTCAAGCGTTTCGAGTTTCGGAGTGCTAGGGGTTTCGGGGTTCAGGGGCTTGGGATTTAGGGCTCAGGGTTTAGTGTGGGGTTTAGGGTTTAGGGTTTAAGGTTTAGGGCTTAGGGCTTAGGGCTTAGTGCTTAGGGCTTAGGGCTTAGGGCTTTGGGGGCTTTGAGTTTCTCAACTTCGAAACCAGATGGCCTCGGCCTTGTACCGCATCTCGCATGGCGCAAAGGTCGACAAGCACCTTGGGCAGGTGTGCTTCGGGCCTTGTAGGATTTGATCTTGGGGTAGTTACGTGGTCCCTTGCTATGGGCCCTGAAACCCCCTTATGCGCCCGCGTTCCGCGTAATCGACACCCCCCCCCCCCAATGGTATCCCGCCCCCGCAATGGTATCCCCCCTGCCTGGTATCCCCCCAAACCCTGCCCGTTAACCCTAAAACCACCCCGGACCACAGGGAGGGGCGAGAGAAACCCTCAACCTAAACCCCAAACCCTGACCCCTAAGCCCTAAAACCTAAACCCACCAATGAACCACAGGGGGGAAAAGGGTAAACCCGAAACCTTAACCGCTTTAACCCTGAACCGTAAACTCGAAACCATAAATCTACCATTACCCCAAACCTTGAACCCCAAACTCTAAACCCGCCGTGAACCAATGGACCAAGGGGGTCCACAGGGAGGGGGGAGGGGAGAAGGGGGGAGGGGGGGCGGCTATGCTGGCTCATACATATATATAATATCCCTGATGCACAACCCAAAGCCCCATACTTCAGAACCCTTGACAGCTTACAGCAGGCAAGAGGGACCGAATTTACGGGCCCATAGAACTACCCACCGAGTTTAGCTCCCCACTGGCTAAGTGGCCGGTATGCCGGAGAGGTCGTGCAGCAGCACGCGGGGCGGTATCCAAGCGAACTCGGCCTGTTGCAGGGATTCGGGCTTGGGGTAAAGGGCCCACGGCTCCCTAAACCCTAAACCCTAAACCCTAAACCCTAAACCCTAAACCCTAAACCCTAAACCCTACAAACAAACCTGGAGGGTGGACATTCCTCCCACAAGCCTTACCCGCAGTGTCCCGGAAGCCAAGGAGGGAGTCGACGTGGGCCTTTCAGAACTTGGAGGCTCATGGTACTTCTGGGTTTAGGGTTTAGGGTTTAGGGTTTAGGGTTTAGGGTTTAGGGTTTAGGGTTTAGGGTTTAGGGTTTAGGGTTTAGGGTTTAGGGTTTAGGGTTTAGGGTTTAGGGTTTAGGGTTTAGGGTTTAGGGTTTAGGGTTTAGCTGTACTTACAACCCACCTATAAGCCCCCTTAAGTGCCCCGATATGGTTATAAGTACAGCATTAAGTACAGAAATAAGTACAGCTATGTTGGTTAGTAAGTACCATGAACCTCCAAGAAGGAGAAGATGTCGGGTTTTGGGGCTTCAAGGTCTCAATCGGGTTTGCGTTTAGGGCTTAGGGTTTTCAATACGCTTCGGCGTTGCGGTTCAGGGTTCAGGGTTCAGGGTTCAGGGTTCAGGGTTCAGGGTTCAGGGTTCAGGGTTCAGGGTTCAGGGTTCAGGGTTCAGGGTTCAGGGTTCAGGGTTTAGGGGGTTTTCAGGGTTCAGGGTTAGGGTTAGGGTTTAGGGTTGGGTTTAGGTTTTAGGTTTTTTAGGGTTTAGGGTTTAGGGTTTAGGGTTTAGGGTTTAGGGTTTAGGGTTTAGGGTTTAGGGTCCGCCGACCCTGGCGGCGTGTTGGATGGGAAAAGGAGGTGAAAACCTCCCTCTTTCCCTCCTTACCCCCCAACGCGGGGGGGGGGGGTAGGGGGGGGTAGGGGGGAGCACATTGCTGCACACCGCGTAAACTCATGGACCATAGGCGTTTTCGCACAGGGCATAGGGGCTCTTTTGGAAAAACCGCTCTTTTGGGGCTCCCCAAACACCCCCCCCCCCCCGCCCCGCCCCACCCCCCCCCCCCCCTACCCCCCTTACCCCCCCCTTTGACGCGCCCCCACCCCCCCACCCCCCCCCCGCCCACCCCCCCCCCACCCCCCACCCCCCCCACCCCCCCCCCACCCCCCCCCCCCCAACCGCAAACAAAATCACCAAACCCCAAACCTTAAACTTGTTCTCCTGCGGGGTCGGCGGCTTGAGCCGGAGGCTCTTAAATTTGGGGTTGACGGATGAAGGTGGCTGTGCAGTAACGCAGATACCTCACGCCCACACCCCCACACTGCGACCCAAAACCCCTTGAATCGGCGCTTACACCATTTCAGCAGATCGACACCTTCAACCTTGCGCCATAGCGAACGCCCTCAAACCCTGACAATCATAAAATCACAAGCCTGGAGCACACCCTACTGCAAACAACAGAAAGGTGTTAAACCCCGAATCATGAACAAACAACCTGGACTTTAAACCCCAAGACTTCAACGCCCAAACCCCAAGCCCCAGACTATAATAAGAGCCGGAAGCCCTATGGGCAGTTTCCTAACTTAGGGTCCCTTTGTGGGATCCCCTTTTTAAAGGGTGCCGGATAAAAAAGGGTACCCACAAAGGGACCCAAATTTAGAAAACTACTCCTATGCACAAACACCACAGACCCTGCGCCTCAGTGACCTTTAGGCCATCGCAGTGACGAATGGAGGCCTCACAGGTCCCCTAGGGGATGCTTCGGGTTTTATGGGTTTAGGGTTTGAGGTTTAGGGTTTAGGGTTAAGGGCTTGGTACAGCGTTGGTCAGCTGAACGCAGTAGTGTGCAGACCTGCCCACCCCAAGACCACCCCAAGACCACCCAATCGCAACTCACAGCGGGCCAAAACCAGAGCTACCCAAACCCAAGCCAGCCAATCCAAATTCGCATACCGAATATGTCCAAGCACACTTGATTCAAAGACGCTTGGGACATTTGGGACTTGTGACCTACTTGGGGACGCCTGGGCGCGCTTCGGACGTGCCTGCTTCTTGGTGACTCGGGATACTTGGGACGCTAGGAACCGCTTGGCTTGGGGCACTCTTTGCAAACTTAACCCTTTTCCCTGTGACATTGTGGGGCACTTGGGGATAGTTGGGACACAAGTGACGCTCCCATACTTGGTGCATCTGGGACCCTTGGGTCACGTGGCACACTTGTGGGACACTTGGGTTTAGGGTTTAGGGTTTAGGGTTTAGGGTTTAGGGTTTAGGGTTTAGGGTTTAGGGTTTAGGGTTTAGGGTTTAGGGTTTAGGGTTTAGGGTTTAGGGTTTAGGGTTTAGGGTTTAGGGTTTAGGGTTTAGGGTTTAGGGTAGGATACTTGCAGCTTCGGGCACTCTGAAAGCCCTGAGAAGCCGGCAAAAGGGGCCGAAGATTGTTTTGCCATTAACTTGAAACATGCGACCAGGGGCGAGGCAACTTTCCCTAAACCCTAAACCCTAAACCCTAAACCCTAAACCCTAAACCCTAAAAGGGAGGGCAAAGACAAGTGCCGGTTATAGGGATTTGGGGTTTCGGGGGTTTAGGGTATGTGGTTTGGGGCTTGAGGGGTTTTTGGCTTCGGGAGTTGGGGTTGTAACATTGTCGGGGTTCGGCATTTTGGGGTGTTTAGGCTTGAGTGTTGTGTTTAGGCTTGTTGAGGCTGCGGGAGGGGGGGGGGGGGGGAAACCAAAGTTCCCCGAAACCCTAAACCCTAAAACCTAAACCCGAAGCCCTCGTGGTTTGGTGTTGGGAGTGGTTAGTTGTCTCCGGGCTCCCGGCCTCCAAAAGCACCCGGATGCTCAGAGGCAGCTGCCGCACACGAGGATCATTGAGCCGCTCCAAAGACAGGAACCTCTTGGGGGTTTAGGGTTTAGGGTTTAGGGTTTAGGGTTTAGGGTTTAGGGTTTAGGGTTTAGGGTTTAGGGTTTAGGGTTTAGGGTTTAGGGTTAGGGTTTAGGGTTTAGGGCTTAGGGTTTAGGGTTTGGGGTTTAGGGTTTAGGGTTTGGGGTTTAGGGTTTGGGGGGTTTGGGGATTTACCGTACCTAACGGCTCTGACAGGCTTGCTGGGCTTTAGGGTTAGGGTGTAAGGGATGAGGGTTCCTACATCTGGGCAGAGAAGATGTAAGGCCCTTGGTGCCTAAACCCTAAGCCCTAAACCCTAAACCCTAAACCCTAAACCCTAAACCCTCCTATCAACCCAATGAGCCTTCTCAGCACTTGCCCTGCGAGCCCTGCCCTACAAAACCTCAAGCCCTATTATGCCAACGTAGACCCCAAACAGTGAGAGACCACGCGGAAACGCCAGAGCTTTCCAAGGGTCCTCCAAACATACGCGAAGAGCACTCCAAGCTCTGAGCCAGAGAACATTCCATTGGCACTTGAAAAACATCCCTCAAAAGAACTCCAAGAATTCCAGACGCCCTCCGTGTACTGTGCTGCAAAAGTCGGCGTTCGAGCCACTGGACCTCCGGACATCCTCCGCGTACTACCTTTGGACCAGAGAAGGCGACTTGCGAGCCACTGGACCTCCGGGCGTCCTCGGCCGACTACGTTTGCACTGCAATCGTCGACTTTCGAGCCACCAGAGCTCCGCATGTCGTCCAAAGTCACCAAAAGCGAGGACAGTTTCTTCACATTTGACGTCCAATAGCAACGACCGTTAATTGCAAGGATGGCGACGTCGATGCGCACGGTAGGCGGGACGTCCCGACATGCAAAGCCACCCAAAAGCGACGACAGTTTCGGATTGTGGTGAAACCCGACATCCGAGAACGACGGCAGTTTCGCATTTCGCGAATCCCGACGTCCGTAAACAACCACATGTTTCGCAATTGGCGAACCCCGACGACCATAAGCGACGACAATTTCACCTTTCGCGAGACCCGACGTCAAAAAGCGACATCGATACGCACAGCGCCTAGGTGACAGTGCAACTTGCAACTCCGCGAATTGCAAATCCTCTTCGGCTGAACCCATCCAGGCCCAACGGCCCAAAACGAGGATTCCATCCATGCAAGCCACGAAAACATCACGGGACCTCGGCGGAGAGCACGATTTCCACATCAGGGCCCAGGCCAGAGCGCGATTCGACGCAATCCACAGAGCCAGAAGAATGTAGTTTGTGATGTTCCGAGGCCCCGAGAAGTCGGGAATGGCACCCGGGCTGTGGCAAAAACACGATTTCCCATCCAAAATGCGACCGCTCAAGGAAAAGCGTCCGGTTTTCACGGGGCTTTTCGCAGGCGTTTCGCACGCGCGTCGTGCGCACGCAAACCAATCGTTGGCCCTACACCCGAAAACAGGGTACACACCTCCGAAAACCCTGAAGAACCTTACGGCAAGGAGCTTGTGTCCTGAAGGCAGCGCAGACCAGCAGCGCTCGGCCACACGGCGCATGGGCACGGAGCAAACAGATTCCAAGGACTACTTCGCGCTCACGAGCACGGGGCTTATGAGGCGTACAGGGCTTCTAGGGTCGGGGGGGGGGTTGAAGACATATAGGGCTTCTAGGGTTTTACGTCTTTCAGGGGTTCAGGGGCTATAAGGTTTCGGGTTCGGGGCTCAGGGCTTTGAGGACTCAGGGGGGTTCAGGGCCAGCTTGCTGCAGCTTCGCGCAACTCAGGAGCGCTGCAGTTATCCGAAACCCCTGAAGCCCTGAAACCCCGACACCCCAAAATTCCTAAAAGGTCGAAAAGTCTAAAACTAAGAACCCTACAAACCCGAAAAAATACCCGAAGAACCCAAACCCTAAAAAACCCTTTAAGAACAAACAAAAACCTAAGAACCCAAACTCTTCGACTCAAGTCGCGACCACCACCTGCCCAACGCGCACCGGCTTGGTACTCCGCTTGTAGGGTTTTTGGGGTCCTAAATTTGGGGTTTAGGGTTTAGGGTTTAGGGTTTAGGGTTCAGGGATTAGGGTGTAGGGTATAGGGTTTAGGGTCATTAAGAATTCGAAAAGGATTCTCGGGCCGATGATCGTATGTTTGTAAAGAGACCATGGGCGAAGACCATTGGCAATTATTCCCCCAGCACTCGGCCTCTGATCTTGCAACATTGCGAACATCTGCCGGCACCCCTATGTACCTCTAGTCTGGTGCCCCCCTACACCATCCCTACACTCATACCACCCCTCCCGCCTAGCTTCCCCCTTTTCATAGGCTCAACTAGGCTTAATTCTCCCCTAAATTGCCTTAATTATGGGGAAACCCTTAGGAGGGCAGTATAGAGGAGGGGGAGCCAGGGAACCCATGATCAAAACCACAAGCCCTTGTGACGCCTGAAGAGACGGAGCGGCTGTGGGGAGGGAGCAGCTGCCCAGCGAGCTCTGCCGTAGGACCTTCTTGGGGTGGGTTTGGGGTTTAAAAGGGTTTAAGGGTTTAAGGATTTGAGGGTTTCAGGGTTTAAGGGTTTGAGAGCTTAAGGGCAACCTAAGGGTTAAGGGTTCAGGGGGTTTAGGGTTTAAGGGTTCGGCACGTTTATGGGCTTGCGGGTGTTCTCAAGCCCTGGCGAGCACCTTCGGGTTCAGGACTGAGGATTCACGACTTGCATTTCAGTGCTCTTACTTGGAGGTTCATGGGTACTTATAAGTAGGGCCCTGAATGAGGTGTTAGCCATAGTTGCCCTACTTATAACCCTTCAGGGCCTTGGGTGTAGGGGCATTTGACCGGAGTGCACACTAGTTACCTACAAGGGGGTTTAGGGTTTAGGGTGTAGAGTTTCGGGTTTAGGGTACATTTAGGCTTTAGGGTGTCTTGTCAGGGCTCACATGCAGCCCGTAAACCCCGGAGCCTGCGACCTTTTTAAACCCTAAGCCTGTGGCAATAAACATGTGGTCACTTCTCTAACATATGGCCCCCTTTTGAGGTCCTTGCAAGGCGGCCCCTCTCACTAAGGGCACCCAAAGTCTTTTTGGACCGTCATGTTGAGACATGACCCATGTGCTTCACGCATGCCTTGGGTTCGAGATAGACTTGGGGTTGTTCCGCCCTTGTACTAACCGCCCTTAATAGGGATCAGAGTGCCGCCCGCCCCCCCTATTATCATCCCCAAGGTTTGTTGCAAAAAGGCAATTAAAAAAAATAAAAAAAAAAAAAAAAAAAAAAAAAAAAAAAAAAAAAAAAAAAAAAAAAAAAAAAAAAAAAAAACAGACACACACAACGTAATCCCACACGAGATGTTTGAACCTTGGTTAAAAACCCTTGATTTGCTTGACTGGCCTTGCCGATGTGTTTGGGCAGCGGCATGAACCACTGAGTTCACATGCAGAAGAAGCCCTGAAACCCTTACCCTTAAACTGCTAAACCCTCAAACCCTTAACCGAAACCCTGAACTCCACTTCCCGGGGGCTGAAGCTTTAGGTTGATCCTAAACCCACACCCCAAACCTGGCAACCCCAAACCCTAAACCCAAACCCCACACCCCTAAACCCTAAACCCCAAACCCTAAACCCTAAACCCCAGACCCTAAACCCTAAACCCTAAACCCCATGCTTGGCTCACTATGGCACTGGGGACTCGGCCGGCCCACCTGGAAGGGACAGCGTTGGCCTTTGGCGCTTCTGAGGGTCACTTGGAGGCTCATGGGTACTCCTAGGTAGGGTTTAGGGTTTAGGGTTTCGGGTTTCGGGTTTAGGGTTTAGGGTTTAGGGTTTAGGGTTTAGGGTTTAGAGTTTAGGGTTTAGGGTTTAGGGTTTAGGGTTAGAAGAGACCTAAATGAGGTGATAGTAGCCCTACTTTTAACCCTACCCATGAACTTCCAAGCAAGGGCTTAGGGGTGATAGGGTTTTTTGGGTGGGCCAAGCTTGGATTTTCGAGTTTAGGGTTTAGGGTTTAGGGTATGTGGTTGAGGGGTGGTAGGGTTTAGGGTTTCGCGTTTAGGGTTTAGGGTTGAAGGTTTCAGTTTAAGGGTTACGGCTTTCGTGTTTAGGGCTTGGTGCCTCGGGGCTGGGGACTGAGGCTTCAGCACGTTGGATCACTCCCTCAGAAGCCGTTCCTAAACCCTCAAACCCTAAACCTGTCTGACGAAAACGCCCGGAATGAAACCTCCAAAAGGCGTTCATTCCTAAACCCACAGACGCCAACCCCAAACACGAAACCCCAAAGCCCAAGGCTCTCGCATACCTTGAAAACCAAGGCCTAAACCCTAGTTCGTTTGATGTCCGCAAACCACAAACCCATAAACCCCCTAAAACCCCTAAAACCCCTAAACCCCCTAAACCCCCTAAACCCCCTAAACCCCCTAAACCCTAAACCCGAAATCCTAAACCCTAAACCCTAGACCCTGATAAGCGGGCCCGAATACCCCAAAGCACTGATCCTCCTCCCTGGGCATGTGGCGCTTGCCCCATTGTTCCATTGAGAACGGACGGCGCTCCCGAGGCAGGTCCTCAGGGTTTAGCATTTAGGGTTTAGCGTTTAGGCTTTTGGGTTTAGGGTCTAGGGTCTAGGGTTTAGGGTTTAGGGTTTAGGGTTTGGGGTTTAGGGTTTAGGGTTTGGGGTTTGGGGTTTAGGGTTTAGGGTTTAGGCTTTAGGGTTTAGGCTTTAGGGTTTAGGGTTTAGGGTTAGGGTTTAGGGTTTTGGGTTTAGGGTTTAGGGTTTAGGGTTTAGGGTTTAGGGTTTAGGGTTTAGGGTTTCAGAGGGATGTGGGTTGACGGCCTTAAACCCGCAATGCCAACACCACACGTACATCATCACTTTAATTGGTCATGCATGTGCTCTGTTCATGATAAAAGTATCTTGCATTCTAGGGCAGTACATATGTCAGAAAGGGTGGCTTCCGCAAATAGGGTGCCTTGTTTGGGGTCCTTATTAAAAGGGAATCCTACTATTTGGGGGGTCCATTTTTAGGGGTCCCCTATTCTCGCGAGCCTAAACCATCCTAGACCCTAAACCCTAAACCCTAAACCCTAAACCCCAAACAGGTCCCCTATTCTCTTAATCCCCCATCTGCGGCACGACCTTCCTACATCCAAGCTGCCTCGAGCATCAGCACTTCCGTCATGATTTGGAGCGCAGGGCTGGAACACGCCGTTGCCACCTCTCACTAGTTCAAACCCCAAACCCTAAACCCTAAACCCTAAACCCTAAACCTAAACCCTAAACCAACGAGTAGGGGGGGCTGTGCCGGTCAATCGCTGAACCTTCCATGTGAGCGACTGCTCAAACTGATGGGCGCAACATGAGAGGGTGGGTGTCGCTTTTCAAGTGTTCCCATCGCTTTAGAGGGTTTTAGTATCGCTTGATGTCCGCAGGTCCGCTTTGGGGACATGCAAGATTATAGCCCACCACATGGTTCATCAACTGTAGGGATTTTGGGCATTCTTGAGTGGCTGGGGGATGTGGGCTCTGGCTTTAGAGGTGTTGGGTTTGATCTTTGGATTTCGTGTGATTGGGCCAGTCTGCCCTGAGGTATCTGCACTTGAGCTGCATTCTGTACCCCTAAACCCTAAACCCTAAACCCTAAACCCTAAACCCAAACCCTAAACCCTAAACCCCAACATCAGTGTGCGCAGGAGGTGTGCATCGGATTGATCATATTCAATTCACTGCTCAGCCTCGGTGAGGCAGGACTCTCTCTGCCCAGTGAACCCAACTCACCCTCTTGGAGCCGTATCTCACTTGGCTGCCCTCAGGAGGGTAGCTATAAATTAAACTTTTAGCTGCCTTAATAAGAAACCCAATAAACCCAAAAAAGGTAAGGATCTAAAGTTACGGTGAAGTACCACAAAGCTCAGGAGCGAGCCCGAATACTGCCGGACTCAGTGAGGATTCTGGATGCCGCATACTGTGAGAGAAGTTAGGGCCAAGGCTGGGAGGGGAGATAACTGTAGGTTTTGCATCCGGTCCCTCACCCTAACCCCCCTAGCCATGAGCTCTTAACCATGAACCCTGAACCCAAACCCTAAACTCTAAACCCAAACCCTAAGCCCTACACCCTAAACCCTAAACCCTAAACCCCCCCCTAACAACCGGAAGCTGCCCGCATCTGCCCGCTCCCTCCTCGCGGGGACTTCGCCGGCGAAGGCGGACGCAAGCGCTCCCTGCAACAACAAACTGGGGTTTAGGGTTTAGGGTTTGAGGTTAGGGTTTAGGGTTTAGGGTTTAGGGTTTAGGGTTTAGGGTTTAGGGTTTAGGGTTTAGGGTTTAGGGTTTAGGGTTTAGGGTTTAGGGTTTAGGGTTTAGGGTTTAGGGTTTAGGGTTTAGGGTTTAGGGTTTAGGGTTTAGGGTGTAGGATTTCGCTTTCAGGCTTGTAAGGCTGAGGCCTGAACCACAACACCCGAAACCTCAAGCTCCCAAAAACCTCAAACCATTTCCAAACGAAAATCCGAGCTTTTGGCCAGTGCCAAGGGGGCGGTTAACGCCTCAACCCTCAACCCTCAACCCTCAACCCTCAACCCTCAACCCTCAACCCTCAACCCTCAACCCTCAACCCTCAACCCTCAACCCTCAACCCTCAACCTTCAACTCCAAACCATAAACCCTAAACCCTACACCCTGAACCCTAAACCCTAAACCCCAAAACCCTAAACCCTACACCCTAAACCCTAAACCCCAAAACCCTGAACCCTAAACCCTAAACCCAAAAACCCTAAACCCTGAAGCCAGGCCCTGAGCCCACAAACACTCTCAACTCTCCGCTCTGCCGCTCGGAAGGGGGGCGCCTCGGACTGGTCATGTCCTGCAGGTTAGGTGTTTAGGTGTTTAGGGTTTAGGGTTTAGGGTTTAGGGTTTAGGGTTTAGGGTTTAGGGTTTAGGGTTTAGGGTTTAGGGTTTAGGGTTTAGGGTTTAGGGTTTAGGGTTTAGGGTTTAGGGCGTCGGGCTTACAATAGGGCTTAGGGCTTGTGGCTTAGGGCTTAGGGCTTGGGGTCTAGGGCTTAGGGCTTAGGGTTTAGGGTTTAGGGTTTAGAGTTTGAGGGTTTAGGGTTTGGGGTTTAGGGTTGCGCTTTTGGGTTTCCAATTGTGGGCCAAGCGTGTTTGGACTGATCTCGGCTTTCAGCTCTCAGCGTAGGATTGGGGGGCTTACTCAACCGCCCTGGACCCTAAACCCCCTTAAATGGAGACCCCTTATATACCCCATAGATACCCTCTAGAACCCAAGGCCCCATACGTCAACCCTTAAAAGAAGGGACCAGATTCAGGAACCCAAAACCCTAACCCCTAAAACCCAAACCTTAAATCTCCCAAACCCTACACCCTACACCCTAAAGCCTAAACCCTACACCCTAAACCCTAAACCCTAAACCCTAAACCCTAAACCCTAAACCCCCACCAAATTCACTCATCATGGCGAGTCCTGGCACTCGCTGAGAAGGCGCTGGTAGCGCGAAACCTCCCCGCAAGATGCTCCGTGGGCCCAAAAGGCTCTAGCCACTCAAACCCTACTTGGAGGTTCATGGGTACTTGTAAGTCGGGCTACGTCTTGAACCACCCACAAAGGTGTTCAGGGTCTAGGGCTTAGGCTTGGACCCTGCCCTACATTGTCAACAATCCATAGGCCCGAAACCCCTCAGCCGCCGGAAAGCATGAAAAAGAAGCCGTCAACCTCTGAAAACAGCCCTCAAAGAGGCACAGGAACGCTAAAACCCTAGGACCCCTGAACTTGCCCTAAACCCTCAACCCCCATAAACCCCAAACCCTACGCTCCATAAACCCTAAACGCCCTACACCCTAAACCCCTAGACCCCTAAGCCACAAACCCTACAACCCGAAACCCTAAAACCCTCAACCCTTCAAACCCTAAACCCTAAACCCTAAACCCTAAACCCTAAACCCTAAACCCTAAACCCTAAACCCTAAACCCTAAACCCTAAACCCTAAACCCTAAACCCTAAACAAACCACCTCAGAGCGCAAGCGCGCCGACTCGCGCTGCAGCTCTTCACGGAGCGGATCGCTGCCTGGATTGGGGTTTAGGGTTTAGGGTTTAGGGTTTGGGGTTTGGCGTTTAGCGTTTAGGGTTTAGGGTTTAGGGTTTAGGGTTGAGGGGTTGAAGGGTTGAGGGGCTGAAGGGTTTAGGCTTTAATTTAGGGGCTGAAGGGTTTAGGGTTTAGGGTTTAGGGTTTAGGGTTTAGGGTTTAGGGTTTAGGGTTTAGGGTTTAGGGTTTAGGGTTTAGGGTTTAGGGGTTGAAGAGTTGAAGGGTTGAAGGCTTGAAGGGTTGAGGGTTTATGGCTCGCTCCATCTCTGGGTTTCGGGGCTGAGGGTTTTGAACCCTGCCCTAAACCCTAAACCCTAAACCCTAAACCCTAAACCCTCAACCCTAAACCCTAAACCCTAAACTCCACCGAAGTGAGAACACGCCGCAGATGCCTGTGGGCTGCAGCTCGTGAGGCTCATCCGAGATGTTGAGCTCGGCCTGGCTTGCGCGATAAGGGTCTTTAAGGGAACCTGGGGTTTAGGGTTTAGGGTTTAGGGTTTAGGGTTTAGGGTTTAGGGTTTAGGGTTTAGGGTTTAGGGTTTAGGGTTTAGGGTTTAGGGTTTAGGGTTTACGGTTTAGGGGGTTCCTCCCGCCGCCGCACCATAAGTGCCCAAAACGTTCTTTGTGTTGGTAGGTTGTCATCAAAAAGGCCCTGAAAAGGAGCCTAAAAAGAGTTGTGCCCGTAAACCCTAAACCCTAAACCCTAAACCCTAAACCCTAAACCCTAAACCCGGCTCACAGGCTGTGGCTCCACAACACCTTCCTTCGCACTGGGGCCTGCCCTTGCTTGTTCCACTCGCATCCCACAAACCCAAACCCGGTCACACAATCCTCCAGATCCAGGGATCTTTGTGAGTTTGCAGGGACTCGGGGTCCAGAAAATCAGCACTTTTGCAGCTTTGGGCTTGGATTTCGGAAACATGTCACATGCCCGCGACACCCCTGACCACGGCATGCGCCAGCACACGGCGCGCTTGCGTACACGGCAGCAAACTGCAGCCTGCCTATGGTGCTACCTGTGTGATCAGTAGGCACGCTCGGCACTGAAACTGGTTGCAGACACCTACTGCTCTTGAATGAGCCCATGCCGCATGCAGGCAACTTAATCTGGCTCGTCTTTACATGCCTCTACACATCTGCACGCTCGAGCAAAAGGAGGCGTGAAGCCGAAGTTAACAATCGAACAGCCTGGCAGGCATCCTTGCTTCCTTGCATTTCATCAACTTGATGGCTACGCTTTGGAAAGCAGCACACCTGCTGTCAGTCTTCAAAAGTCCAACGGCTACGGTCGCACGAAAGAGATCTGCAGCTTGCAAAAGCTTATGGCTGGCTTGCCAGATCCTGTTTTGAACATGCGGGACACCTTGCTTGCCGCCACCCAGACGCCTGGGAAGATCCAAAAGTCGATCCCTTTCAGGGTTCCTAAAAAATGACCCACTAGTAGTATTGAGGGTACTACTTAGGGGGCTCTACTTCTTGGATCCTCCCAGAAAATCTGGGCAGATGAGGCCCGGATGGCCCTAGCAATGCAAGACCAAAAGGTGCGGCAAGACTTTGTTGCCACAAAGGCGCACGGCCAAGGGCGGGTTCTCCGAGGCAACCTCTACACGATTGCTGTTGCGGTCGACAACTCACCAGCATGGCCACAAGCACATTGGCTTTAAGACGCGTGCTTGGTGTTTGTGAAGGCTTGTTGGAGAATCCAGTAGATCATACCGATCGCGTAGGTCCCTAAGGGAGCCGCATAGTATGTGGCAAACTGCCAAGTAAAAGGCACTCCGAGAAATGTAAGCTGCCGTGGATGCAACCGCTCGTAGTCCAAGAACTCATTGACCAAGTGCCTCGCGTTCTCATCACGCGTCCTCCCGTGTGTCAAGAACACCCTGCGACCGATAGGTGATCTGAAAGGCGACACTGGCGAATCGGCGCCGCTTGGGTCAGGCGATTCTATCTCCTCGAGGCCGGACAACAACTCCACGTTGACAGTATTGCCCAGGTATACGAAGAGCACGATCATCGTGCCGAGGAATATACCAAAGGCTGCTGCATAGCACATTATCTCAAAGTCGTTCCCCGTATCTAACAAGACTGCCAGGCAGGTCAGCACCACCATCACAGCTTCTGCGACCCCACAGAGGCCGAGAATCAAGACCCGTTTGGAAACGGAGCGCTTGATGTCTGAGAAGATTAGCGCCCGAGTCTCAAACCACCAGCCGAGAGTCAAATCTGGCTTCAGCTCGTCCGGAAAGGCGTGTGCTCCAATGTACTTCAAGCGTTGCTTGTGGACGATCCTGGCACGGATTCGATGTAGCCTGTGCCTTAGATGAGACTCCGGGACCCCGAAGCCTTGAGCTCTTACTTCTGTGCCTGCACCCGCGTGAGTTTAGAGCCTTTTTGGGGGGTTTTTTGTGGGCTTGGGTTTTTGGGGGTTAGGGCTCTCCCTGAGCCAAGTGCAAGATGATGGCCTGAAACTTCGGGCTGTCGTGGTCATGAAGATGCAGGAGGTTTCTCAGCTCACGCAAGGAGTTCGCTGCAGCATGAAGTTGGTAGCACCCAATGAAGATAAAGATGAAGGAGCCGCAGTAGAAGAACGTCGAGTCCCAAAGCGCAATGATGCTCCCCAGCGTGGTCTTGGTTCTCAGGCACTCTGACCCTTTTTGTAGCAGAGCTCCGGCCTCTGCCCAAGGGTTGCGGGTGGAGCCAGGATGCTGGAGCGTAGTGTTGCTATGCAAGAAGACCTGCACCAAGTCTGGCAGCATCAGGAACACCAGGCTCCCGCGTGTTATGGGAGCTGACCGCAATGAGGAGTCGCTAAACCAGAGGAAGGCCCCCAGAAGGGCGCTCAGTGGCACCATGACGCAAGGAAGGACCTTGCACAGCCTCCTGCGGGTCGTTGCGTCTGCCGAGAGCAGAACCTTCTTGTGGAACAAGAACAACAAGAAAGGATCGGAGTGGTCCCGAAAAGTCTTGTACTGCTCGCTGCTCACCGTCACGGTATTTGCCTCACCGCCCTCACCCTGGGGAAGGTGGATGTAGTCACCGCACCTCCCGTAGACCAGCACCCCAACATTGGGCTGCCGGCCACGGCGCAGCTTCTTCTCGTCAACCATCAGAGTCCTCCGAGCTTCTTCTCCTTCTTCCCAAGGTTGCTCCTCGTCCTCACTATACTCCCCTAAGAACCTTAATTAAAAATATGTTTTTAAATATCCTCTTGGGTTTTATATAAACAAAAATACAAAAAATTATTCCCAAGGGCGATATAGCCTCAGGCTCCTCAGGCTCAGAGGGCTCGGAGTCGCCGTCGCCGACGTCGTCATCGAGAAAGAAGTGCAGGAAGATCGGGCTCTTCACTTGATTCCCCAGATTCCTTTGAGCTGGGCTTTGAGATGGGCTGCGCGTGCTGCGCCCTTCGGGCTCCTGGCAGCGGATGGTCAAGGTGAGGTAAGGCTGAACCGTCTCGCAGACGGAGACTGCGCGGCGAAGAGCCTTGCCAAGCTCGGCACAGCTCTCCCACCACTGCCTCACGCGCGGCAGGTAGACCCGGTCTAAGGCCCGCGAGGTCACCATGACCCGCCAGGACACGAAGGGGCCCAGCCTTACTGTTTGGTTACTAGGGAGTTTGGGGAATGAGGCACCCTGTTAGAATCCCTGAAAGGCGCTATGCCTCAATTCCCGGCTACCTACTCGAATCCCTTAAAGGGTATACATTTAGGGCCCTAGACTTCCCCTCCTTCCCTGCTACCCTACTCGAATCCCTTAAAGGGTATTAAACTTTGGCCCCTTTTTTCCCCCTCCTTCCCTCCTTACCCTAAACCCTAAACCCTAAACCCTAAACCCTAAACCCTAAACCCTCAACCCAGGCGTTCTGGCTTAAGGTGTTGTGTAGTTTCTCTTCTGAGTCCACACGCCATTTGCCTGGAAACCCTAGTGCGGCTGTTTAAATTGCCCACGACTTTCACTGGCCTGCACTGTACCAATTCTGGAGGTGCACGCTTAAGAGCCACTCCCTAGAGGAGTCTGGTTACTGCGCATACCCGTAGTTGCGCACGGGACGGAATTGCGCCTTTTAGTGCAGAGTGGCGCCTGCTGCAATAGCTGTTCGCTTTGGACCTATTGCCAATCCCCTTTTTATGTTTCTTGGACGGCTGGTGGCCTTTCTGGGACTTTTTCTGTGGGTGGCTATCGAGCACTCTGGGAACGACGGCTCGTTCCGAGCCGGCCTGGCACCGCCGGCGTCGGAGACAGAGGTGTGTGGCGAGAACACAGCTTCGGACTCTGGACAAGCCAGCGAGGCTCAGCACGGCCGAGATCCTCAGGGCCTGCAAACTTCTGCAGGGCCATCATTCTCAGTCTGCTTTACCCAGCCGCGCTCTTCACTGGGCGGGACTACAACGAACGGGTACAATGGCAAGCCATTCATGGTGCAATCAGTGCTTTACCAATCGGTCGGCAAAGGCAGCTTTCTGCTCGGTGTGTGGGGGGTCGTTGCAAGCTTACACGGCACCGTGGACCTCACCGAGACGAAGAGCTGCACCATCGCCCAGGTCACCGAGGAGACGCGGGCAAGCCGAGAACACTACCTTGCAGACCCCGGCAATGAAGGGAACGCAGGGCAAAGATCGTGGCGGCAAAGGACGAGACAAAGGGGGCAAAGGGGCTGCGAAGCAAGCACCTCTTGGGCCACCGCCGGGAGAATGGGTGGCGCCTTCAATTCGACAGGTGCCACCGCCACCAACACCGCCACAAGCACTGGCCTCTGCAAAGGCTACTGGATCGGCGACATCGACCTCAGCGCCTTCGCAGGAAAAGCAGGCACTCCAGCAGTTGGTACAAGCCATGGAGCAGACCAAGGACAAGTTGCCAGAGGCGCTCAAGGCGCTACTGGAGACGCACCAGCTGCAAGAGTCCGAGGAGGAGGCCAAGTTCCTCCACAAGGCCGTCTCGGCCCAGCAGAAAGCTCGCAAGGAGCTCTCCAAGGTGCGAACGGCGAGGGCAACCTATTTGGCCGGATGGAGCACCTATCTGGGCCAGATTCAGGAAATGCTACAGAAGCAGATCGAAGATCAACAGAAGGTGCTGGGCGAGCTGGACGAGGGCGAACTGCAATGGGCGGCCGCCTTGGCAGAAGCGTCGTCCTCCCTGCAAAACAAGGTCGGGGGAAGCACCGAGCTGGCTGGAATGGAAGGCATCGACGCGGAGGCCTTCGAAGATGCGGTTGCAGTGGCACAAGACGAAAAAGTCGACAACCAATTGCAGCTGGAACAAGCCCTGAGACTACAGCGGGCGCAGCATCAAGCCTCCGCGCGCTCTCTCCTGGATGCAGTGGCGGCGGCACGTGTGAAGGCAGCAACGGAAGCAGAAACCGCGGAGCGGGATCGAGAAAGAACCCCTCGACGCAAGGCGGCAACCGCAACGGACCAGGCAATGGAAGTGGTGAACATCGACGACGAGGACAGCAAGGCAGATGGGCAGAAGAAGCCGCCCCCTGGCAAGGCCTGAGGCTAGCACCGCCACAGTGGGCGCCTACCCTCGGGCTGCTTCACTCAGTCACAAATGAAAGTGACTGCATCCAGCGCACGCCACGTTGCTTGGTTTCAGTCTTCAGTACGAAGTTGCCAGGGATTTTGAAGTACAGCTTATTTCAGACCCTAGGCTCTTTGATACGGAAGATAGTGGGGTTTCTTTTCCTAGCTCGAATAGGACGGACTTTCCCCGCTGCACTGTGCCCCTCCTCCCAAGAGGAGATCACCCACACAGCAAGGGATGCATCTGCAAAGCCACCAAGGCTTCGGGCCAGGCTAAAAGTGCTCTGCCCAAACTCGTGCGCTTCTGCGATAGTACAGAGGACAAGCCGTCCCCCATGGACGAGCTTTCAGCCCGACTGTCCATCAGGGTGCTTAGAGCACTTAGACGCCAGCACCTTCCTGTGAGCTTTGCGACTCCGCCGGGAGCACGTAACTTTTGGCCCTACCCTTGTGCATCCGCATCCGTGCTTGACATTGCCCCCAAGGACCCGAGAGGTCTTGTTGTGCAGCCGCACCTGCCTCCCACATCTTGCTGCGCAGGGGTTCTGCAGAGGCATTCAGATGGGACACCAGCTAGGCCATTGCAAGCAAGTCCATGGCACGCTGCTTTCGTGCTCACGTCGGGCGACACAGACATGCATTTTGCTCCAAGCACTGACACGGCCTCAGGACAGCTGGAATCTTTTGCAACACAGGTTCCACTTTCTGAAGGGGCCTCCACAGCATGGCTGAGTGTGACCTCATCAGTGCCCTTGAATCAGCTCGATGTCTTTCAAGTGGGCACTGCCAGAGAGGAGGCATATGCTTTCTTTGACACTGTTGGGCATGTTAGGCTGAGACGAATCCGGCCAGAATGGGATATCCTGCATGTGATTCAGGATGCCGTGAAGGCATCACTTGATGGTCCCATCACTGCTGTTGCGGTACTTAAGCCGGCATTCACAGGCCTCCCTGCCCTGCAACTGATCTTGCGAGCAGCACATGTCACCCCAGGGCGGCTCCCGGTACCTGTTGATCTCAGGCGGCTCGGGAGGGAGTTTTGCACCTTGGCGCTGCCGGATGATGCGTCATCCTATGAAGTTGCCCTGCGCATCACTCAAGTGTGCCCAGGGCCTCCACGACGTTTTGCACCTGACGTCGCAAGGGGCAGGATCAGCCTAAACAGCCTCAGCCGTGCATGCACTGACCCATTCATGCCGGGGATTCTCCACCCGACGCCTGCCCTGGTAGTGCAGACCCATGTTGCTTTTGAGAACACCCACAGCTCCGGAACAAGCAGCACGGGAGCCACCTCTAGCACGAATGATAGCGAAACGGCCTGTTTTGTTGTCATTCCCTACGAGGAGCACCAAGGCGATCTTGTTGTTGCGTTCCACACTCCAGGCAGGCTTGTGCGAATTGACAACTTTCCGCGCATTGCCACGCATGCACAGGTCATCCAGGCTGCCACCAACCACCTTGCAAGGGAGACGGGGATAAGCCGGTGGCGGTCGCACTTTTTGCCCTTTCAGCCGCACATGCACGGAGTTGATTTGCATTGCATGATGCTCCCCGCCGAGGGAGCTGCGCCCTGCAGGGAGGCTGTTCTTGCGGACCTGCGTGGGGTTTTTGGGCAGACACCGCATGCTTTTGCCGCCATTCCCTTTAACCGCAGTTTGCCCCAGGTCGAACAGCGCATCTTGGCAAGCGTGAGGCAATTTTTGCTGGATTCAGCGTTGGCTGATCCACCCACTGACTTCATTCTGTCGCTTGCAGCAAAGGGGGGCATTCTTGCTCTTGCACAGCCAGCAGCGCATGCGACCCATGACACAGTCAGCACTGCCCTACACTTTCCAGGTCTAAGGCAGCTGCTCATGACCTTGGCGGCCACCCTGCCGTCCACCACGACTACCACCACAACCCCCGATGCAGAAGGGGAGCAACCTCCAGATAGCGGGGGACTTGACTCAACTATGCCGCCGCCTAGAAACCCGCTGATTTGCCGCCTTGGCATTCCGGAGTTCGGGGCTGTTTCGGTTGAATTCATAGGCAACCCTGATCTAGGACAGATCCTGGCTGCTTTGTGGCAGGCTGCAGCAAGAAAAGGGGCCACCCTGACAGGCTTCCATGTCATTGTCAACGCCTGCCAGCCAGAGCAGAGGGTTGCCTTCAGGGAGCTCCTTTTCACCTTGGTGCCGGCACAGGCCCATAGGGGTTCTTGGGTTTGGGTGGATAGGCGGCCCCTCGACAGCCTGGTCTTTATAGTTGTGCCTTTTAGAAGCACCACAGAGGCGCTACCCATTGTTGATCCCCGTATCAAAGGCTGGTTCCTCAACGGTGCACGCTGGACAGGCTTTCGAGAGGTCCCTTCTGGCTCGTTTGTGGCACCAGGCTTCTCCCCTGAAGCGCCTGACATCCGCACAGTCGGATATTTCCTGGACCGGCTGCCGGGCATTGCGGCACGCATGACCCCCTTGCCACCGCCGATTGGTAGCCAGACCTCCCCTCTTGACACCACCGCCCAGGATTGGCAGCAGCACATCATCCAACGCCTCGGCGACCTTGGGCATGCACAGGTGCACCAACAGGCTGTTGTCGTAGGCGAGGGGTTTTTCACGGTGGTACCTGTTCATGGGGCCGGAAGCCTAGAAGACATTGCGGCTTGGCTTTGTAAATGGGCCCAACTCCGAGCTCCACTGACAAGGTTGCATCAAACCAACGGTGTCCTAAATGGCCGGCATGTATACCTGCTTGGCCCCACCGACCTTGATGCGCAGCAAGAATACCTGAGGTTGAGCGTTACCAGCATGATGCCTGTGCTTTTTCGTGTGCCACATTACGCTCTCCCTGACACACTGCGTACCATCGCGCCCATTGACGATGCATACTCGAGACCGGTGCCGGGCCGGCCCTGGTTTGCCTGTTTCTTCCCCTCATCGGATTTTGGCGATTGGACGGACTTGCTGGTTGGCCACCACAGCTCGCCGCCAACGAGTCCGGGGCCGCGCACAGACACTTTTGAGATGGATCTGACGCCTGAGCAGGCCAGGAGATGGCGCAGGT